AAAAAGAAAGAAAGAAAAAAAGCCAAAGAGCCCGATGAACCCACGCCCAGCCCTCTAGGGGGCTGGCCAACCCCATTTCTGATGACCTCCCTCCCCACCCCAGGCCAGATGGGAAAAATATCCTGGACATCTCCTTCCTCTCGCCTGTGCAACAAGAGATGGTGAAAACCCTCCGTGAAAGAGTGTGCAGACAAGAAACCAGCCCCCCTCCCCTGCCAGAAAGCACCATTAAGTGCATCTCTCTTTCGTTGTTTGCACTGCAGGCTATGCTAGAATCCTCACCTACCGGAAAAATGATGGATCTTATGGCGCTTGGATCACCACACCCAGCAGTACCTGGTAAGAGCCAGCGCTGCAAAAGAAGTTGGGTCAGCAACAGGGAAGGGAGGAGAGGGCTTGAGTGGGGGGGTCATAGAATCATAGAGTTGGAATATACCATAGACACCATCTAGTCCCACCCCTGCTCAGTGTGGGTTTCACTAGCACCTCTCTGACAGAGGATGACGTAGCCTCTTTTTCAAGATCTCTAATGAAGAAGAATTCAACATGTCATGTGGCAGCCTGTTCCAGTGACTGACAGCTCATACAGTCAGGACGTTCCTCCTCATGTCCAGCCTGAAACTTCTTCCTAGGCCAGTGTTGTCCAAACTTGCCCACTTTAAGATGAGTGGACTTCAACTCCCAGAATTTCCCCATGGCTGGCTGGGGAATACTGGGAGTTGAAGTCCACTCATCTTAAAGTGGGCAAGTTTGGACAACACTGGCCTAGGCAAATGGTCCTGGTCCTGCCTTTTCGGTCAATAGAAAATAAGTACAACCCCTCTTTTGTATGACAGGCAGCTCTTCAGATATTTGAAGACATTTCCTCTAGCCTCTCCTTGTCAGCCCTCCAAGGTAGACCAAACTTGGAAACCAAAGATATTACTAGTAGTAGAAAGCTATTACTACTTATATTAAAAGGTTATAGTAACAGAATCTTGCAAGTCTGAATATGCTTCCCCCCTCCCTCCCTTTATCTTCATGAGGCACTTTCTCAGGTTACCGTTCTGCCCCTGACTCAGGTTTCTTTTATCTGACCGTTGTCTTGGTTGCGGCTCTTCCTCCTGTTCCTCAAGGTTATTCCTTCTGGCCATTACACTCCTCTAAATATACCCAGATTCTTTATCTTATTGTTTAGTTTCCAGATCCTTCACAGTCTTGGTAGCCCCTCTCTGAACACACTCCAGTTTGTCCTTTTTGAACTGTGGGGTGCAATTCCCTCCCTCCCTCC